GATGGTATTTTTTCAATAAGGGAGGGCAGATGAGTCATTTTTCAAGTTGGGGTACTTATGATAGTTATGAAAAAAAAATAAAATGGACTTTAATTTAAAGAGAATGAAGAAGGGAATCCACTGGTTTAGTCCGTTTCAAAAAATATATCTAGCTTAAGATATGCCAAGTCGAAGGGGCCGGCTGGTTATGACGAAGGGGTTCGGTTGGAGAGGGGGTCTCAAGCGGGAGTTTTTGGAGGAAAGAGAGGGGGCTGGGGGTGCTTGTAAGGACACGGGGATATTTTTTCAAAAAAAGGAGGGCATTTGAGTCGTTTTGCAAGTTGGGGTACTTATGTTAGTTATGACAAAGAATAAAATGGACTTTGACTCAAAGAGCATGAAGAAATCCACTGGTCTAGTCCATTTAAAAAATGTGTCTAGCTTAAGATATGCCAAGTCGAAGTGGTCGGATGGCTATGATGGTTATAAGAAAAAAAATTGACATAGGCTCATTTGGTTGACAAAAATATAAGAAATTCAATGGTGTTAGTGGTTTTAGTCAAAACATGCATCATCTCAAGACATTTCAAGTTAAAGTGGGCCCAAGCCTTAGAAGAGAGAAAATTAGTCAATTTTAAGTTGGAGTTTTTGGTTAGTTTTAATGGATTAGAATAAGTATTTTTTGAAATTAAATTAAGTTTGGTTGAATTTTGATTTTATTTTGATTTTATCTTAAGGTTAATTGTTGTAATAATTCTTTTTATTATCGAAATTATTATTATTTTTTCTTCTGGTTATTGTTAGCTTAATGGGTCTCAAAATAGAGTTAGATTTGAGCACAAAAAACCTCATTTGAAATATTTTGATGATACAAAAGAATTGGGGAAGTCCGTTTTGAAAAATAAACATAAGATTATTATTTATACATGAAAAGCCTACGTGCATTATTTTATATAAAGTTGGTGTTTGATGACTACCAAACTGGTTTGCATATTCCTCACATATGATTATGAATATTATGTAACTTACATAATGTAATTTCGATCATCGGATTGATTTGTGGAGAAAAAAAAGATATTTTAAGTTAAAAATTTTTGTGTAAAAATTATCTCAAATAATTGTCAACTTTTTTTTGCATTGTCTTTATAAGTGATAATAAGCTTCATAAAACTTTTATAATGTAGTTTTTAACTCTACTATGATTGGGGAGATAAAACAATAATTTTGAGGTTTATGTTGATTAAGGTTGATTCCAGGTCGATTTTAAGGTTTAGTTAAAATTGGTTATATATGGAGTTTGTTTTGGTTGATTTCAAATTTTTTTGAGTTATATTTCAGTTTTATTAAATTAAGGTTTAGCTCAAGATTCAGCTCAAGTGAGATTTCAGTTTAATACAATCTAGAAATAATATTTGACTAAAAAATTAGGTCAACAAATGAGCCCCCCGTATGTGTGGCAGTTATGCAAAATACTTCACATATTGAAATTAACCAAAATGATCAGCTAAGTCCAAAAGTGAAGTCATTGTTGTTCAGAATTTAATTTTAAAATTTTGGACATTATCTGAGGATTAAAGTTTTTATTTAGATTTTGAGGATTTTGATGTTCTATGAAGTTGTCTGTTTTGAGGAATTTAGGAATTTTTTTTTAATTCAAGTTGGAGATTTTGTAAAATGAAAAAGTAAGAGAGATTATACCTTCCTTGCTTTGATGATTTTTGTTTGCTTGTGCTTTCCTTGTTTGTTGCCTTAATCTTCTCAATTTGTTAGTGGAATGAGGCTCTCCGTTTGGTGGTAAAATGAAGAGTGGAGAGAGAGGAGAGGGGGAAGAGGGTTTTGGGGTTTGAGAGAGGAAAGAGGAGAAGTGGAAATTTGAGAGAGTGAAAGGGAGGGAGAAGAATTGAGAGAGAGAATGGGAGAGAGGAGAATGAGAGTGGGAGGGAGGGAGGAATAGCGAGGGGGGGGGGGGTTGTAATGACATAGGGGCTATTTTTTAAAAAGGGAGGCCATTTTAGTCATTTTGCAAGTTGGGGTACTTACGGTACTAATGAAAAAAAATAAAATGGACTTCAATTTAAATAGAGTGAAGTAGGGAATCCACTGGTCCATTCTGTTTCAGAAAATGTGTGTAGCCTAAGATATGTCAAGTCGAAGTGATCGGATGGTTATGAGGGAGGGGCCCGGTTGGAGAGGGGCTTTTGAGGGGGGGTTGGTTGTAAGGCCTTGGGGATATTTTTTCAAAAAAGAAAGGCATTTGAGTCAGTTTGCAAGTTTGGGTACTTATAAAATGGACTTTGATTTCAAGAGAATGAAGGAATCCATTTGTCTAATCCATTTAAAAAATGTGTCTAACTTAAGGTATGTCAAATCAAAGTCGTCAGGTGTCCATGATGGTTATGTGAAAAACTTTTGACATATGCTCATTTGATAGAGAAAAATATATAAAATTCAATGAACTAAATGGTTTTGGTCAAAA